GATGGGACAATGCGTGAAATCAATTGGGATGGTCGGATATGAAATGCAAGGATATGAAATGGAATGGGAAGAACAGACATGTAATGATGAAGTGATGTGGAGTGGAATGGAAGTGAAAAGGACATATAAGAGACTAGATGCACTAAAATGAACGGAAAGGAGATGAGTTGAAAAGAAGTGAAATGGATGTCATGTCATTTTGTTGATTGAAATGCGATACGATGACATGAGATGACATGTAATGCAGTGAGAGCCAAGCGCAAAAGAAAGGAAAGGAGAGGAACGGACAGAAACATAAGAGGAAAGGAAAGGAATTGAACATGCAAGGACAAGACATTATATTATCCGAAATGAAACGAACAAGCCGAGATAGCACGACATACGCGAACCGAAATGAAATAACATGACATGAGGTAAACTTAGCTGACATGGACTGGGACGGAGTGGAGTGGATTGGGATGGGAGGGGAGGGGACGGAATGGGATGGAAGGGGATGGAGTGGAACGTCATGGAATTGAATGGGATGGAAGGGAATGGTGGGGAATGAGGTTTAATTGAGAGGGAGGGAACGGATTAAATTACATGAAATCAAATGTAAGTCAGCGGCGCACACCTTGGGGCCAGACGGATAGGTTCTCAAGGCCGACCTCCCAAAATTGGCAAAACTGGCTGGGTTTGTGCCTCCTCCAGCGGCAGGAGGCGGCCGCGCCGGAACCTGCCTCGATCATGCGCTCGTTCTCGGCTGCGGACAACAGGGGGCAGTTCAACAGGGAGCTGCCAAGCGAGGTCGCGAGGAAGCTTCTGAGCGCCGTCGAGGGCGGGACTGGAAGACCTCGTGACTACGAAGTACCTTTGCTTTTACAGCCGCCCGCCCTCGTGGCCAAGATTGCCTCGGACTGGGCGCCTATTGTGGATGTAGCTGTCTTCGGCCCGTCCGGGCGCCAGCTGCAGAAACTCCTGCACTTCGGCGCGGAGGTCTGCGTCGGTGGCTCGTGGATGCGGCGCCAAGTCCTGTGCCCAAGCGACTTCTAAACGTGGCTGGTGGGGTGGCGCGCGCGTCTTCCGGACAGCCGTCCTGATCATAGGATTCTCAAGAGCAGCTCCCTTCAAAACAGTGCATCAGGTCAACGTCGCCTTCCCGAATCATTGGGGCCTTTCCTACGTGAGGGCCGGCCGCGCGAGCGATTGGCGCTGGGGGCGAGTCTGGGCGCGGATCGAGCGCCAGGTGCGCGACAAAATGTCCCAGGGCGACTTCGCCCCCTCGCGGCCCTCGCGGCCCTCGCGAGCTGTGCTGAGCTCTGTGCCTGCGGCTCGGGTTCGAAGGGCGACTGGTGGAAAGGGCACCTGGGGGTGCCCTGCCTCGCTTCGCCCAGCAGCTCGGCGGGGGCTGCAGCGAAGGCGTCCGCCCTTGCTGGCGCCGCCACAGCAGTCGAGGTCGCGGAGGAGGAATCGACCAGCAATCGCTGTCACACCTCAGGCCTGGCCGTCGCTCCAGGCGCGCCTGGCCGCGGCCGTCGCCCCCCTTCCGCTTGGTTTTAGCAAGCGGCGCAAGACATCTTGTGGCGACCGCCAGAAGCAGATATAGAGGCGGCTGGCAAACGGCCCGGTGGTCGATTACCTGAGCACTGATGAGTGCAGTTGTGCTATGCCTGGCAACGGAGTTTGGCAGGGTGTGCGCCTTGCCCTGCGGTGCCGCGCTGGCGCAGGAGCACCGGTGCGAGTGGTGCTCGGGGTCGCCTCGGGCAGTGGGTGACGTTGGCGCCGCCTTCGACCGACAGGAGGGTTGGCGCCCCGCTGCGCCGTCTGCCCGAGAGCGCGGCGCTGGGTCGCGGGGCAGGGGCGCGCGCGGTTCACGCGAGGCTCCCTCGCCGTTTACTGGGCGCCGCGCGGCGCTTGCCGCGAGCGCGTCTACAAGTGCGGCCACTGCGCGGACTGCGCCTACCACTGCTTGTCTTCGTGCGTGTGCTATGTCGGCCACTCCAAAGATCACGCCACCTCCTGCGCCTCCCTCCTGGGCTTCGCCCCCCCCCCCCCCTCCCACCCCCTCCCACCCCCTCCCCCTCCCGCGCTGGTGCCGTATTGGGGCCGGCTGCTTGGGGGGGCTGGAAAAGGGGGCGGGGGAGGTGGGGGAGGGCGTTGCTGCGCGCAATGGTAAGCCAGAAGTTCCTCATTCGCGCGGGCCGCCTCCTGCTGCCGACGCGGGCGCCGGCGACGGAGCTCTATCCTGTCCTCGCCCCGCGCTCCAGGCTCTGGCTTGCTGGCTTGCCAACTGCCCAACGGCCCTTTCCGCGCGAGAGCGTCCAGGGTAGGCCTGCCGGAAAGCGACGGGCTGACTGCAGAGCGCCCGCGCGCAACGCGCGCCTGGTGGCAGGGCGGCACCGCGCAACGGCCCGCAGCGCAGCCATCCGAGACCTACGCGGGCGGTTGCCGCTATTCAACAATCGCCGCCGTCGCTGTCGGGAGTTTCGCTTGGCCTTCTTCGTTTTGTCGAACGGGGCCCCTGCTCTGGCTCCCAGGCCGTTGCGGCTCGCGCCTGATGCTGTAGCTTATTTGATCGATGTGAGACAGGCGCCGGAAAAGCGATTCGCGCGCGCGTGTCTGCCTGCAGGGGCGCCAGGCCTTGCGCGGTTGTTTTGGCGCCGCGCCGTCGAAACCGGCATTGTCGAGGGCGCGTTGCTGGAGGGCTCGCGCGCGTGTCTGGTCACTTCGTAGCGCGCGGGGGCGCGGGCCCATGACCCCGCGAGTTGCAGAGGCCAGTGCGTGTGCCGGTGGACTGCTGGAGCTGCTGTTCCAGACGTCTGATGTTTGCCGGGCCTGGGTTGCAGTGGCGCCCCCCGCCCGTTCTCCTTTCTGGGCGCTGCCGCTGGCCGGGGAGTTAAGGGAGGTGGGCTTCGACGGCGGTATTTTCGTTCCCTGCCGCTGCCGGCAAGGCGCCGGCCAGAGCATTCGGCGGCGCCGTCGGTCGTTGGCGCCCGATGGCCTCGTCAGCCCAGCTCAGGCGACGCCTGGCTCAGAAGCGCCGCCGTCGGCTTCCGGCCCGCAGCCCGAGCCCGATGACCAGCTCTCTCAGCTCGGCGGGGTGACGGCCCAGTGGATGAGTGACGTTCGCGACGAGTTCGCGCTCCAGCTCGCTCCAGCTTACGCAGGTTGCGCCGAGTCCAAGCGGCGCAGGGTTTAATCTAAGTCGGGCGGTTGCGATTCTGGAGGACGCGAAGTCTTTGGCCGGCAGGCGGAATCCACATCCCGCGTGCGGCGCTTGTCCGCAGCTGCGGGGTGGCTGGCGGCTTGCGCGGGCAGCGCTGTCTATGGCGCGGGGCGCTGACGCTTCGCTTGTTCGCCTGGCGGCTGCCCGCCGCCGGCCGCGGCGTCGACCGGGGGGCCGCCGAGCGAGTCAGCGGTCGAGCGAGCCCACTCCAAGTTGGTTTCTGCGCTGTCGCTGTCGCCGGAGGCGGCCGAGGTCCGCCGCCTGGAGTCGGCCCTTCGCTATCGATGGTGCAGGAGGCAATGGTCCAAGCAGGCGGCCTGGGGCAATCTGCTGGCCGAGGAGTGGCCGGTGCGCGGGGCGCCCCTGGGCGTCGCCCGCGCCATTGAACCAGGGCCCCTGTTTCCAATGCGGGAGTCTGCAGCAGAATCCACGCTGGACAGGGAGGTTTTGGCTTCCACTTGCCGCGGTGATCCTCTTTCCTACTCCGTGCTATTCTGTTTTATTATACTTCACTTCGCTCTGGGGTTTAAATTTGTGTTGTTTTATTGCCTGTGCCATTATGCTTCCTATTTCTTTGCGTCATTCTACGTCGCCCCTGTCTGCGCTTTCCTTGTCCGCTTTGTTTTGCGTCGTGCTGCGAGGGTCTGCTTTGTTCTAGTGTATTCTTTGCCTACTCTGCTCTGCGCAATTTTACACCAGTGAACTCTGTCTTATGCAACAACTGTATTAAACTTTCCTCTTTCCTATTGCAGTAGTTGTCTTCATATCAGTTCTGCAATTTTGTCATGTCGCAATATATTAGATTCTATTTTATTTTTCAGTTCGGTTTAATTTTTATACAGTGCTGTGCTTTATTTCTATTCAATTATATTTGGTTATTGCGTGCGTTTTCTTGTTCTGGTATGTTTTTGTGATCGTCTCTTCTGTTTCAGGACAGTATGTTATATTCTTGTACATTCTAGTCTTTCAACTGTGTTAATGTTTCATCTTATGGTGTTCAATTGTATGCCATGCTGCTCTGCTTTAGTCAATTCAGTTATATATATGTCTTCCTTTGTTTCCCCTCGTTTATTTCTTATGCTAAATGTTTTTATCTGAGTATATTCGGTTATGCTGTATTTCATTATATTCTTGTCTATCCTTTTGTATTCTTTTATATTCAATTCGATTCCGTCTTTTTCCTGCTCCAATTTTCATATATACTATGCTATTGCATTTTCTATGGTTTTCCGTATTATTCTTTATTGCTCTAGTCTATTATATTCTATTTTGTTTTGCTCTGTTCTGTTTCATTCTATTCCATTCTCTTCTATTCTGTTCTACTCTGTCTGTTATTATTCTATGTTATTCTTTCCTGTCCTATATCACTGTATCCTATTATTTTATGTTCTAATCTGTTCTATTATATCCAATTCTGGCCTGGTCTGTTCTATTATAGTATATTCTCTTCTTCTCTAGCTCTACTCTGTCCGAATCTTGCTTGTTCGAGTCATTCTACTGCATTTTATTTTACATTCTACGTTCTATCTAACTCTTTGTCTGTTCTGTTCTAGACAAATCTATGGATCTCAGCATATTTCCTTCATTCGATTCTTCCGTTTCACGGTTTTATATTGTTATTATGTTCCAGATCTAGTCTTCTCTAGTAGATTCGATTATGGTGTGTCCCATTTTACATACAACAAACAAGAACATTTACTCGTATACCCAATGCTGCTTTATGCTATCTTATGTGCTGCTATCATTTTTCGGTTCTATCATGTGCTAGTGTGTTGTGTTATGGTTTATCATGTTA